AACTAAGACCCGGGGACTGGATGTGGCCCGTTCAGTTAATCCGGCCTGCCAAACTTTTCCAAATTATATCCATCCATTTTCACCCAAATCACACTGCACCGTACCAACCCCCCTAAACCTTCCTGCGGGTGGTGAGTCCACTGGAAGGTACCAACCGCCCTAAGCGGGATTAGATCTTGCTCAGGAGGTGAACCCTGGGGTTCCACACCAATGACAGAGACATTGTCTCTGGGCCAAAGCGCCACTCAAATTATATCATTTATTTATATTATCATTATACTTCTGCCCTTTCCCTGCAATACCCACATTTCCCCAATAGGTGGCATAAAAGATGATAAAAGCATTTTAGTGGTTTTGCATGATTTTTACATGACATTTATTTTATTTCACACGAACGCTCCACCTATCTGCTCCTGACCCGGTCTCCCTGTTTAATTTTAGGAATTTGAGTCAAACGCCTGGTTTAGACATATGTCACTCCGATCACTGCAGACTGGATATTGACCTACAAATCAAATGCTCCTGGTTTCTGTGATAGAGTCTTTGTGAGTAGATAAGCAGGCCTGTGAAAGACAACACTTCAAATGCATTGAGTTTGTTAAAAAAAAAAAAGAAAATCAAATCTTAAATAAGCTTGGAGGTTCCTGCCATCTCAGCAGTGTTTCTCTGCCTCTGTTACAGTAGTTTACAGCTGAGAACACCTGGATGTCTCGGTGTGTATTTTTATTAATGAGCCTGTGTCACCAAACTTTTAACAAATGGGCCCCACGTACACCGATGCCCAGAAAAACCCAACTCGGAAATTAACCCTGCGCATCATAAATCTTGGAAAGTTACAATAATTTGCAATTCACTCCCTCATCAAGGGCAATATTACCCTAATTTATTATCTCCCTGCACGAGGGGCGCGCAAAGGCCGTGGAGATAAGAGTTTATCAGGAGGAGGATTGATTTTCATTAACTGATTGTAACAAAGATGAACTGCCTGCTGCGCGCACTGACCACGAGCCACACTTTATTGTAATTGGGACAATTTATTCCGTAAGTCACTGGCGCCACCTTTTTGTCCCACGTGTTCAGTTTTATTACAGGTCTATCTCTACCAGCGTATGTCGGCACAGGCACATCGGTCTTATCTTCTGGCACTGAGGCAATTCAATACTTACGTAAACCTGACTGATACTGGATGCCAAATGTCAAAAGACACTGTTGTCTGTCCTTTTTGTGTCCTGTTGTGACACTGACTGACCAGAGAATGGCAGGTTTGAGCGAGAGTTTAGTTTTAAAAGTATGTTCATTCACCACACGTAGGAGTTTATTATTCATATGAGGGCAGAAGCCTGTTCCGGCAAAGGTCAGTGTTCACCGTGGCCACCTTATCAGAGTGGAAAGTTCTAAAGATAAACAGTCATTAACACTTACTTTTACACATGTAGTCATTTGGAGCGTCCAATTAACCTAGGACAGAAATGGGCCAAAAAGATAAACATGGAGATTGACTTCACAAAGAAAAGCCTGAGTCAAACCAGGACTCCAACAATAAGTGAAGATATTTTTCCTCTAACTAAAGTATTTACACCGGACAATATTTGTATCAGATATTTGTCGCAAGAGGATTTTGTTTTGGGTCGTTTACAATAATGTCTGTAGTCTTGGGTGGTGAAGGTTTGTGACACACTGCTGTATTCTGCTGTTGCCATGTTTACTGGGAGATTCTTTTAAAATAGTACAGTTTTGATAAACTACATACATACCTACTACTAAAATGAAATATGTCAGTAAAAAAAGTATACATTTTTCATGTTTAGGTGGAAGGGTTAGACATTATTGCCCATGTACAAGCTAAGCACAAAATTATTTTTGAATACAAACCCAGGCTTTGGGAATGACTGCTCTGAATCATATCCCCCGGAAATCATAAATTAAAAAATGAACACTGCGTTAAACTGAAGAGGAATTGAATTTATAATATATATTGACTCTTGTTTACTGATGTCATAAATTAACTGAACGTTGTAAGGACTGACTTGTTTCTTAGTTACCACTGGGCTCCACTGCAGCATCTATTATTATTGCTGCCCACAGCTCTAGTAGTAGTACTGTAGTACATTATAAAGTGGTAGAGTGTCATTCACGCTCATCATTGTGGCACGGTGTAAGAGTATGTCAAAAACCTCCCCCAGTTTCACTTGAATCCCCAGCATCAATGTCAACATCAGCAACAGAAAAAAGAAAAAAAAAATCAAATCAAAGAGCAAAAGTTTTAGTTTTTATTGGAAAAATGGAAAAAAGGAGAGAAAGAGAAAAAAGCCCCGAAAAGCAGTTCACTTTGATACATATCTTTATCTTACTCAACCATATAAGGAAAATAAAAAAATCAACTGGAATAAATAAATAAATAGATAAATAAATAAATAAATAAACACCAAGTTCGACACTTGAGCGGTCAATTAAAGTGACGTGTTCAAAATACAAATGATCGATACAAAGCAATCGAAGCAGAAGGAAACAAAGAAAAGCCAGAAGGGGGCAGTTTGGTTTCTCAGGTTAATGCAGAACACTTATCTGTTTTTGTTTTTTTGTTTTTATTAAAGAGGCTTTTGTTTCTATAAAATCATACTGCTGTCCCTGTCAGTTAATCCATGCTGTACTGTTGTGTTAGATGCCACTAAACGGGCGGCAGGTAAATTAAAAATAAATAAATAAATAAATACATTTTAAAGGAACAAATATACAAACAACCTGTAAACAGCATGTTCTCCATCAGGTTTGAAGAATAGTACTGAGATTACTCTTTCAGTGCCCTGTAGTTCTCCGCGGACGCTTCACTGCTGTTCATATGTTTCGCTTGCTTTGTGCTGAGAAACCGGAACTTACATCTTCATAAAGCAATACCCCCCACCAACCTCCCCATTTCTCCAAACCCACCCCTTAGTAACCTAAAGAAAGTTCCTGTGCTGATTTTCCATAACATACAGGTTTCATATTTATAATAAGCTACCATCCTTAGCATTCCACCCATAGTAAAAAGAACCATATTGTTCATACAAGTTGTACCATAACCATAATCGTTACCCCCCTCTATCCCTATTGAGCATGCTCAGACACTGAAAGGGCTTCATGGTAGAAAACATGAATTGTCATGTTGAAAACATGGAGAAGAGCAGTAACAGACAATGAAATCCTTCTTAGTTCTTTCATACGTTTAAGAATTTGAAAAAAAGAAGAAGAAAAAACAGACATTGATCAGCTCTTTTGTTTTTTTCATTTGTTGAGCTACAGTCACTTCATTGTTTTCCTGTAAAATGTGCAGTACACACTCCTGCACACTCAGGTTCTCCTGAACAGCCTCCGTCTAAAATATTTCTTCACAAATTCTTTCCTGAAATACCTTGACCTTTTCTTTTTTCTTTTTTTTCAAAGTCATTTCATTTCAACCACAGCTGGTATCTTTCATTTGCATTCCCCAAGCTGTAATGAGGGCCAGATTTAATTTGATGCTAAAAAAAAAAAAAAAATCTCCAGAAGAAAGTACATAATTGAAGTGACCCTCTCTAAAAAATACCAAAAAATAAATGAATTAAAAATCAAATAGTTCACTCGATGAAGGAAGTGTTTAGAAAATTGACGCATTAGAAAATTGAACTGTTGAACCCGGGAAACATTTAAAGGTTAGCAGTGGAAACGGCTGTGTAATTTGTCAATTCATGGTGTGAAAAAGAAAAGCCTTTTCAGAGAGTTTGACTGCAGCTGAACAATGTACAGAGCATATTGTTGACATTTGCTGATAAATGAAGTGGATCCTGTCTAATAAAAGCCATCCTGGAGAAGAACGTCTCAGAGCACAGTGAAAATAAAAGCAGGGATACAGTCATCAGGAGCTGCCGAGTCATTCTGCTGATAACATCTGTGGTTGTCTACTACAGACGCACTCACGATTCCCGCAGACTCTGCTTTGTGTGGATGTGCTGTAGAGACGGTGCTGTGATCTCACAGCTCAAGCAACTGATATATCTGAAGTGTATAGCGATGATCAGAGCCCTGAGGGACGGGCTGCTTCAGAGAGCAAACCGAGTGCACAGACGGTCGGGATGGAGAATGTGTGAAAGTAAAGGAGTGACTGGTAACAGAAGTAGATTTAGAAAAAAAAAAAGATTAAAAAAAAGGACATATTTCATCTTGGATGTCGTTACTTACAGATGAGGCTGGTGGAGTTAATTAATCATGATGTAGCGTGATGTGTCGTGACCACACAGTACAGGAGCCACGTGTGACCGGTGCTAATGGTATGTTGTCGTGGTTGAGGCAGCAGCAGCTGTAGCGGCTACACTTCCAGGCCTGCCGCTGTCTAATTGATGGATCATTCTGCTCTTAATTTGACCTCTTAAGGATGGTAATGCCGCAGCCGTTCCTCACCAGTGTACCAGCTCTCACTGTGCTATTACAACGTCTGTGGGAGCAGGAAGATGCTGTTTACTGAAGAACTTTGAAATCAACATTAACAGAATGTGAAAAAAAACAACAACCTTCAAAACCTGGATCTTAGACTTGTTTCAGTTGGTAGAGAGAGTCAGCAGGACGAGATAGAGACAGAAGAGAGAGGGGAGAAAAATACCAGGAGAAGAATGGACTCTGTCACTCAGTCAATCCATTCAAAATGCCAATGTGTAATTGATTGCACATCTCTGGTGCTGCAGTGCTGTTTCCCAGCTGATCAATATTATCATTACCCTAATTATGCTGTGTGTTACCTCTCGGCTCCTGTGAAATGATGTCCCTATTAAAAGAGATGCTGGCACTTGGGGGTGAGGTGAGAGAGGCGGAAGACAGAGGTGAGAAGGGGGAGGAAGAGAAGAAGGAACAGGGGGTGAACTGCTCTCTCTCCGTCTCTCTCTCTCCTGCTGGGAGCAGCTGGAGGATCTTGGCAGAGGGAGAGGGCACGACCTGGCAGCGACCACTGTGACACACGGATGGAAATTTTTACAACTGCTGTCGAGCTCATTTGTATGTTTTATTAAGCAGTTACAGACGCCGTGCTGTATCACCACTGAACATCCAGTTCAGCTGGGAGGCGCTATTACCCCAATGTGTTAAGGTCAGATTATCTGTAAAATCAAGGGATGGATGAGACGGAATGAACTCTGGTTTCAATGATGGCATCGGTTTGTGCTGACAGGAGCAGAAGACGGAGCTGCGCACAGCACTGTTTATGCTAAGAGGCTGTTTGTGTGTGACTTTTGGCACTGCAGGGCTGTTTTCTCTCTCGTCTGACACAGTACCATCAACAGCTCAGACCTCCCAGATGAAACACTGTGACGCAGATGAAGCAACGAGTGGTAAAAGAACACATCTGAACATGCCGCAACAACTTCTAACCCACATATTCTAAGCCACTTAAAATAGAATAGCTTTGTTTTGTTTTGTTTTTTTTATATATTTTTCTGTCTTTGTTTAATATCCTCAAACCCAGTAGCTATACATGTAAAAAGAAAATAATCCAAGCCCAAGTTCCTTTGTTTTTCAACCTGAAGCTAGAATTTCTTCTTAAGTTAACTTTTTTTTTTAATATTATTAGTAGTAGTTTGTAGTATTAGTATCATTAATATCATATATCACTGTTCTGAGCAATAAAAATGTTTGGTCCTTTGGTCCCTTAGGGGTGAAATACTTGCAGTTCTACTGTTGCTAATGGAAACCTCAGTGACCTCCAAGAGTCATAGTTCTGCAACTGCTGAGAGATGGTGAGAGAATAAGAGAGGGAAAGATAAAGTGAGTCTGTCAGTGGAGCTTCTATTTTCCACTGTTGTTCTTGATCTTCAAGTTTGTACCCTCATTTGTCCAGTACAGTAAAAGCCACAAGCGCCTTTGTCCTCGTATATATATATACGTGTATATAATATGTATATAGAAATCTATCTGTTGTTGCTGCTTTTTTATTCATTAGTTTGTTGCTTAAATAACAATTTAAGTCTCAACAAGAAAAAAGTTCTTCTTCACTTGTGTGTGTGTTGTTTTTTTGTTTTTTTTTCTTTTTTCTTTTTGTCTTTCTTGAACTGGGCCATCTGTTACTCATAAGTCCCCCGTCGATGCGCTTCCTCCTCCTCTTCTCTCACATCTTCTTGTTCCATATCCTACTGTATATCTTCATAAGCAAACGCTGATATGTCTTCAGAAATTCCGTATGTGTGGATTTTTTTTTTTAAAACCATATGTCGCTTTCAAAGAAAAAAAGTTTAACTCCTTCGAGACATCCTCACTTGTCCTCTAAAACCTGGAAAATATAAGGGAAAGGCAATTTCAGGTCTCACCGCTCATTAGGCTGTCACTTCAAAGATCTGTGCCTTTAAACCTGAGCTAGTTCAATATGGGTCCATTATATCAGTGTAATGGTCTGGAGAGAGCTAACACACACTGGCACACCGATCGCTCTTTGTCAATCATGATAATGACAATGAATTTCCTCATAACTGATACACCTCCTATAGCATACAGGATATATACACACATATATGGTAATATATATAAATATATATATATGATATATATATATTTATATATATACATACACACAAATATGTTAAGTTAGCTAATAGTTTTTTTTCATAAGGCATAATTTTCGGTCGTTTGTTCGAACCCTTGTTTAAAAAGGCTAAAGGTCAAACAACAAAGTGAATGTGTCATTTGTTGATTTTTGAAGTGATTGCCACTCTCGTATCGTACCATGCACATGTTTTGTACAATGTTATGTTGATTGTTATTCAATCAACAAATTAACCCCAGACAGGTGTCAACAGTGTCAGGAGTATGAAAGTAAACGTTCAAGGTTTTTTTCTCACGTTAGCAAAGATTCGTAATAGCACAGTGTTTCGTTATAAGAGAAATACTTGTCTGACAAAAACTAAGCCATTCATTATCCTACCACAGAACCGAAGTTATTGGCTTTGACCTCATCTGAGGAGCCAAGTGAGACAATGATAGTACTTTGTTACTAACAGATTATTTTTATGGTAAAAATGAAAATGTCTATATCTTATCTGATATATCATATATCTGATAATTATCATATTTGTACGATAAATCGGCCCTTTGTTCGATAAGACGGTAGAGGTGTAACCACAGCATACAGGTTTTGATTGTCCCTGGGTCTGAGAAATACTGAAATATGCAAATACAGTAATTTAACATTTGAGTCTAAGTTTAATAATCAGAAAGCGAACAATTCCTTCTGGTAAACAAGCCTAACCACCAAGCTAAAATCATAGTAATTCATTTATTGTTTGCTAATTTAATGGTTTACATTCTGTCCAGCCTGATTGATAAAATGATACGTGCTCACCTGTGCGGCTTGGGTAAATACTGAAGGTAGGCTGTGTCAGTAAGGACGACTGGCATCCTTCGGTCTCTTTAGCTGCACTTTCAACCTCTTCATCCCAATCTGAAAGCCATTCATGGCTTGGATAGCTGCCTGTGCACTAGCAGGGTTGTCGAAGCTCACAAAGCCTGTGGGAAAACATCAATTCATTACGGATGAATAAGGCAATTATCACAGTCAACATTAATGTTGAGGGAATAAATAGATATAAGACCGTGATACGCGGACAAATATATGCTTAATCATCATGACTTCTTTAACTCCAGCTCGAAGGTAGATGGTGCTGTTGAGTCAGGCAGCGCCTTACGGCTGACAGCAAGTACGTCGTCTTTGCTCCAGACGAGGGTTTGTTAAAAACAAATCCTTGGAGCTTGAATGTTGAAAGTATTTTGACCGATCCAATGTACACATTACTGCGGTATAATTTCATTACACCTGGCTGCATTTGAGTCTTTTAAAAAGGTCAAACTCAAACAATAAATATTCTTTTTACTGCCTTGTGGTTAAAAGTGTATCTGATTAAGTACTGTATCTGTATCTGCTCCTACATGATCACTCACAGTGTTGAGAACAGAAGTAAAACTTCACTGGTTTTTAAAGTTACAAAAGTCTAAAAGTCATTAATGCTGGTGCTGAAAACAAGGACAAAACACAAACTAAACCCTGTTCTTCTGGCTCACGGAACAAGTACAGATCTGAGTACGACAAAATGTATTCCACAATATTCATTACAGAAGCAAGGTCATCCCGTTAAATATTTTATGTTTTTGAAATTTAACAATGTCCATGAGAGAGAGGGGCTTTTTAAAATTTCATAGAAAGCCCCAAATAAAAGAATGAACACAGTTCATTATGAAGAGACAAGTTGAGCTGCAGACTAAATAGCGTTTCCCCCGAAATATACTGCTCCTCAAACTAACAGCGAACATCCTGTTTCCATCATGTGTTTATCCAGTGACCAGAAACAGCAATGGAGTGTGTCTCCATTTGATACGCTCCCCTGTGTTTGAGCCGTCATTAGAACTAGTCCATGATCCATGTAAAAATAAAAATAAAAACAAAAACATGAGACCAAAACTGCCACCTGGGGTAAAACATGGCTGACCTCGTCGTCTCCAACTCTGCCTGTTAGTCTAAAGCCAGGAGCCTCTCTGAGGAGGGCGAGAATAAAAAGCCTAAGGAAAGTATAACGGCAGGGAAACGCAGCACCGCAGTAACCAAGCGCTGTGCGCCGACAACAGAAACTTAAAAGTAAAAGTGAGATTAAGATGTGAAAACAAGAAGATGAAAAAGTCAGAGAACTGAGCTGCGTGCTTTGTCAGACTTGGTGTTTCTCCGTGTCTCGCCCAACTATCAATCCAACTTTATCCCTTCTGTCTCTTTTCCAGATTATTTACACCGGCGTGCTGTCTCCTTCCCCAGGCCTAACATTATGTTGTAAATGCATAGTGTATACGTCAATACTGCAAATGGCTCTTCTTTCATGAATTTATATGTTATAAAGCCCCCCCTGGGAGTCGGGAGCGACGATCAATTTTGCCCAGGGTTCTATGGCTCCCTAAAGAGAAAACAAATGCTGATCCATAATTGTCCTTTGCCTTCACCCCCACCGACATTCCTGCCTGCTCAAACTTTCCGTAAGCCCCGGAGCGTCTTAGTGTTTGTAGACATCAGAGCTAAATGGGACAGGAGCTCCATGGTGTGTATATCAGCCTCAGCAGGGGGCGGGGAGGGGGGTATTGACAGATATTGGGGCAACAGGACTATGATGTTGATGCTGACACGGCAACTCCAGGTTTCCAGGTCACACAGCTGCCACACTGAAACAAGGACATGGGCTGTGATCGACTGCATCATGGCTACGGTGGCTACCATGTACTCAGCACATTCTCCTTGGAGTCCAAAACACAACTGTCATCAAGATGCTAATTCAGGTCAGCCCATCAGGGCGCACACAGCCACACCTACACACACACACACCCAAAGGCCCTTACACGCACACACAGAGAGAACACACAAAAGGATAAGAAGTTCAGAACTTGGCTTTTGCATAACTATCTGCCTGAATTTGAAATATTTTTTGAGCTTATCTGGCATGTTTCTCTCCAGTCTATGACCCTGATCAGGATTAGGAAGCAGAGGATTGATGGAAGACTTGACTGTTTGACAACTCCTGAACAACAGTGGAGAAGTGCACCTCCAAATCCACCATAGCTCCAGCTCCAAGAATAATGATAATAAAAAACTGAAGAAGTATGATGTTAACATTCATAGTGTTTCCTTGGAAGAGACAGGGTAGAAAAGTAGGGTAGAAGTCAGACAGTAACACACCGAAGCACTTGCTCTGGTTAGTTGCCCGGTCCATGAAGACTTTGGAGGAGATAACTGTGCCAAAGGGCAAAAACATCTGCATGAGTTCATTGTCTCCAAACTCCTGTGGCAGGTGGTAGATGAACAGGTTACAACCCTCTGGACCTGGAGACAGAGGGAGAGAGAGGGAGAGAGAGGGAGAGGGAGGGAGAGGGAGAGTTGAGATGTTCATTGAGGAAATTGGTCCAAACGTAACAGTTTCACAAGATTGTGGAAGTGGACTTCCAGTAAGTCTGTGACCTCACTGGAGATAAAGGTCGACCGTCACAGTAGAATGAACAGAAAAGCTTTAGCATTGATTTTAGTGATCATGATCATGTTAAATATGTTTTGCTAATTAAGTTATTACATTCTAAAAAATATAAAAAGAAAAAAAATCACTAAACTCACTGACCACTTCATTATGCACATCTGTTCAACTTCATGTTATCGGCCAATCACGTTGCAGATTACTTTAATGTCATTAGCTTTGTTACGATGAAGAGTCCAAGTTTCCACCCTGGGTTTTTCTATTCAATTCACATGTGGCCCACATTTACATTTTATTGTAGATATACTGTTATATAGACCAGGGCTGCCAACACTTTTATGGCTGGGGAGCTACTGTTCAATGACCAAGCTGAAGTGATCTATCTATGAATGAAACTATACATTTACTCATATAAACTGTCCATACTTTATATATTTAATATATGTTTGGGTACTGATTAAATGCATGAAGCTGTCTGGCAGAATATAAATCAATTCTTACAGTACATGCTCACTACGATATTTTAATTTTAGAAATGAATATATACCGTATTTATATATACTGTATATATATATATATATATACCGTCCACACTGACGGACAGTGAATCTAATATATACTGTATCTTTATGAATATAATAACAATGCTGGTCTCTGGTGTTTATCTTCTTGATCTATCCTTTCCACTGTTCAGTGTATGATGTGTAAAAGTAATAATGTTCTCTCACCCTCACCTTCTCTCTGCTGCTGCTGCTGGATGACCTGGGATGGTTGGGGCAGGGTCTGGCCAATAGGTGTCAGCGTGGTGGCTGGGTAGATTGCTGCAAAGGGGTTGAAGGAGGAGTAAAGAAATAGACAGAGAGAGAGAATGATTAGACTAAGGAAAATAAATTAGAGGTGTGTTGCTAAAAAATATATATATATAAAATGAATCCAACACTCTTGTCTTAAGGTTGATCACACAAGCGTAACGTGTAATAAAAAAATCCCTCTGATGTTATGTTCCAAGGCAGTGTCCTACATTATGTGAATACACACAGCGCTGCTTGTTCAGTTGTTCCCCTGCAGTTATCATGTGTTTATTTAACATATATGGCAGAAATATAACCGACTAAAAAGATCCTTCCTGGCCGTCACCTGTGTATTGCTGTACTCCGGTGAAGGCTTGCTGGAGGGTGTCTGCAGCAGTGGGGCTTTGGGTGGAGTAGGGCGGCAGGCCATTAGTGTACACGGTCTCCACAGCAGGATGTCCATTTGGCTGATGAGGGATGCCGGTGAATCCGTTGACGATTGGTGTGACAATGCTGGGCACGGCGGAGGTGGTGATGTTGGCTGGTGGAGAACTGAGGCCTGCTGGGAAATAAAAATAAATAAAAAATCAATGTTTCTGTTATCAGAAGGGTTCCATCTGCATGTCTGTTCACGATAGTAATAATTTGGTTAGACATGTAAGTGTACACAAAAATGTGCTTGCCCACTGGGCACAAACAGGAAATACATTCACACACTCACTCACACACACACACGAGCGATGTAACAAACAAGCAGAGAGCCCGTGACCTGAAGCTACACTGCATCTCCTCTCTAATGCAAGGACACTGGTGTGATGTGAGTCTGTCACATATTTGCGTGACACATCCTGCAAGATAGCTGGGAAGTCAACCTGTGAAAAATGAGCCTGTCTGTAGTGTTTGTACGATACCCTGCTGGCTCCCACTGCTCAAGATGATGAAACCACTATGCAACTTCGGAGAGGGAGGGAAGAAAGGAAAGGGATTACAGATGGAGATGTGCTCCAATGAGCAGGTAGCAAAAACACAAAGATCTCTCCTCGCTGTTGTTCACGATGAAAAAAAAGAAAAAAAATAACAAACAGTTGGCAGTTTGACTAATGGTCGGGTCATAACACGTATGATACACGGCTGAAAGGCATTTGCAGGAGGGTTCATGAGAGGAATCGAAATGGGATGCTCTTTGTCCTCCCTCGCTGAATGCATTTTAAAAGTACCCTCCTTTACAAAGTGTTTCCAATTATGCTGCAATCGCCAAAGTACCCATTCTGAGCAGAGTCTCACTGTGTGATGGTCTCTCTAAAACGGCTGCTTCGTGGCAAAGCATCCAAGCTTGTTGAAGTACAGCTCCCCAGAGGACCACCTCTCAATCTGGAAGCCCTCGTCCTGATTGGACAAAAAGCTCAGGTTGTCACAGAAACCCTCCAGCACGCCATATCCCCGCAATCTGGTGTGTCAGTAAAGAACCCCCCCCCCTGAGAAATGGTCCAGATAAGGTAAATAATCACACCCTGTCCACACATAACCTGTGTTCACATTTATGCTAATGCAATGGTAAATATGCTGTGCATCACATACAGAAACCACCCACCACTCAGTTATACTTTCTATATTTCCATAAAAGATTGCTCTTCTCCATTCCTTACTTCTATATCTCCTTCTTTCTCTCCCTGCCTCAGCATTTCAGTTCCGAGGAGGCTGACAGTCAGGCCGACTGCTGGGATGACCAGGGGAATTGCTTAAGTTCAGTGAGAACAGTTGTGTCTTTTAAACTGGTTTTCTTTTTTTCCTTTCCTTTTCTTCTTTTATTTTATTTTATTTTTTTAGCCTCCCTGCGATTGCTTGTTTCCTGCGGAGCTGTGATGAATTAGACTGCAGCTTCAGCCCATTCTCCTACCAGGACCCTGGAGACTGCCGCTCCTATTCTGAGGACGAGAGACAGCTAGTCTGCTCGGGCCACACGCACTCTACTGTACCGCCAGATAATGCACCCTCTCCATCATCAGGCAAATTCATTTTCCGAGGCTTAGCAATGCCGTGGGGCTGCGCGTCTATGTAAGTGAAGCAGTTACAGGGTGTAGCAGGAGTCGCGGAGGTGCTGCGAGGTGCTCGTGTGCAACCCTTACATGCAATTACATAAGTTTCGGGGTCAGTGGTTGGACACCGTGTGGACACATGACACTGGTGACAGAATGGAACCACAGAGGTTATAATGGTAGAATTGTCACAGCAGGGGGAAGGCATGAAAATCATGTCTGTAATAAAACGGCAGCGGAAGTCTATTGAGGCAAAACTGGGAAACGGTTTCAACCCAATGACTGAACCAAGCTGAACGGAGGAAAGACTGGGGTGGTTGACTTGCACATGTACACAGCCAGGGGACGATGACAATAACCAACACCACGCCCGTGATGCCCAATAAACCAATGATTATATGAGGAAGACTTTTATGAAGACCAGCCATCATGTTTATCCTCAGTGTCACTACAGTCTCATTTACCCAGAACAAACCTGAACCAGGGCATTTTCATTTTGTACATCAGTACACAGACAGTAGTTCTTCCGTTTTGGAAAACTGTATTCATAACATGTTTACAATGCACACACATCATGAAAGATATACATATGGTTGTCAGTATATAGGCCTGTAATAATGACATGGTTCTTTGACAAGGCTGTCTACAGCTTTAATGGAGAACAAATTACATTTCTGCCACCCTAACTGGAAAATAAAAACTACATAATCGCATATAATCTACATATATGAGTATGCAGATTATTATGTCATATATATTGATGTCATGCATGGGAAATTGCAATGATATCCTCGCTGCCTCTGTGCAATGTAAGCGAACCGAAGCGAACCGAAGCGAACGGGCACATACAGGTGATAGACAGTTGCGATAGCCAATCACCGCAGGCGTTGTTGACCGCAGGCCTCCTAGCTGGCCTCACGTTGAACGTGACATGTATGCGTCCTGTGATTGGATACTCGCTTACTGCCGTAAAACAACACGAAGTAAGTCCAATGCAGATCAACCGATTAGCAGAGAGAGAACTCTAATATCTACTCGCTTTTTTCTTTTTTATTCCACAATGGTCGAAGGAGCGCAAAACGTCGATTTGCGAACTTAAATTGCTTAACTAAGGCAGCAGTGAGACACCAAAGCACGACTGGACACTTGCAAGCTACGGTGCTTCTAAAAACTTTTGGGGACACCCGAGTGGATGCACAGCTCAACGAACAGATGCGAAAGGGATTTATTGTTGGAACTGAAGCGCAAAGATAAACTGTGCAACCAAGTCGTCGAGGTCTTCCTGAGGAAACAAAGGAGAATGGATTTGGTGTTGAAATAAGTGTTTTGGAGGACAGCTGTTTTGGTGAGTGCAAACATTTTTTTAATTTTATTTATTTACTTGCGGATTTATTGATTATTTAAATGCGTCAGAAAATACCCCGTTTCGTACACAATTGAGGTGATGCCATGCCCAGTAGTGCTTATAGTGTGGTTCCGTACTATTCATTACCAGCACAAGGACTGTCTTTTCGCCCCATCAAGTAATAAGCAGTCAAAACGGATGTGACTCTGATAAAACGTCTGTGTGATTCTGAAATGGTGAATAATAAGTCGGAGTATGGGAAGTGAAGTCATCGACTGTGACAAAATGAAAAACTGAGAGTTTGAACTGCACCCCTTAGGTTACTGATAAATACTTCAATATTTGAGAAAATAAAATGTGACAAAAAAGGATGTGTTTTCTAAATAACACATGATTTAAAAAATTGAACTGTGCTAATTTATACTGTATGTGATTTGATTTTATTGATCAATTTTGTAACTACTTACCGACTATGTATATATAATATGTAATTCAAAGCAGTTAAAATGGATGGTTGAAAGTAAAAGTTTTTTTTTTCTTAATTTTGATAGATTGACATATTCTTGTTCAATACATGGTCTTTTTATATATATTCATTATATATTAAATATTATTGATTAGAATCCATACCTCCCTTATATATTATGTTGACTGGTTATTTTTAGTTGTGTTTAGAATGTGAATGCTGCACACTGATGATGATGATGATGATGATGATGATGATTACTGTGCACTTGTGGCTTGTATACTATGTGGATAGTTACTTTCTAAGCTGTGGTAGCTCTTGTCTTCAACAATAATAATTATATTATATTATATTATATTGTAAAGAAATTAGGAATATTTAGAAATGTACTATTAAGAAATGGCATTCTGGGGCCAGTGAAACCCTACAAGCAGCATCTACATTTAGAAAAAAGGCTGTGTGCTTGAGGTTGGACCTTTCATTAGAGTGCACAGGTGTTCTCAGACCCTGCTGGTTCTTATACTATTACAAAAGCACCATGTCTTTTTAGGATGTGTATATGTATTATTCTATTGTGACCTGCCCTGCCCCCTAAAAACCCCTCAAACCCCCACACCTGTTTGTGGCAGAATTAGACATATAAAGCAACAGTATAATGTGTGGGGTGCATCGAGAAGGGCAGGTGTACATCCTGAAAAGACAACAATGTGGAACAGCCCATTAGGTCTACTTGTCAGCATGTGTGTGCTGCACATTAGTGGTGTAAGCATGAATGCCTTTATCCAGAATGAAATATAAAACATGTGCATCCATGTATGTGTACTTTCTGTTGATGTTCACCCTGACTCTTAAATGGGTGCAGCATCTTTCCATGACAATACTCGCTCCACTTCTTTCTAGAGCCGTGCCCGAAGAGCGGCACCTGGTGAACATTATTATCAAAAAAGCATCATCGTGTGTCATTGTGAGAATACATTCTCTAATCAGCTGAACCATCTGGCAAACGGCTTATGCCCCATCAAGCTCAAATGTTTTGCATCTGTTGATTAAATGGATGTCTCGTTGTGTCAGAGTAACACCCTTAACCTATGAGCCTCGGCAACGCGGCTTGTTGTCACAAACAAGAGGACGCGGCGTCGCAGTGGTTGCGCTGATGATATGAATAATAAATCAAAGTCGTGCGTTTATCCAAAGATCATTAGAGGTTAACAGTCGTTCACCTGATGTTGCAGGTGCATGCTAATGCTGCGTGCTAAGACACACAGCTATTACACTCTCCGCATTCGGACTTAACCTCTTTTTTTATGTTGCTTTACAACGATTTTGTTGCAGTCAAACATTTTGCGTTTGATTTTTTCATGCTCTAATTTGTCAAATGAGATTCTTAGTGCATGAATCAAATCTCCGTGGCAGCAGAGGAACTCTGTGCTCTGACATTCTAAAAACAGATTCCCGAAATGACAGTGTATTATTCCACTCAGCGTGGTAGACATCCTACAGTCTCTTAGTAGTGTCAGTCTCTTGGCCCACTTCTACAGACAGACTGGCTTGTAATGTTATGTATTCGTTCAATGGACTCTAAATAAATCAAAGCCACAAGTGGGAAGCTGTATACACCAGAGCTGCAGCCAGACTATCTTTCCTGCAGCTGCTGGCAGCAACAGTCAAATCATTGAATAAAGAAAAGCCAAATACAATATTCCTATTTATGACAGTCCTTGAAATTCCACCAAGGATGAATTATATATTACATTTGATAATAAAAAATGATCATGGCCAAATGTATATAAATTGCCCCATTTCACACACATTTCAAATTCACAGACACTATTATCTCTTTCTCCCTTAACTGAAAAAAAGCCTTTCATCAACAAAAACTCTGTTATTCCTTTGGATATAAAATCAGTTTAATTATTTTTAAAATGAGCATTATGATGTGTTACGTCGCATATAGAAATCACTGTAAAATATTTCCATTCACTGTATTCATCTTTTCTTAAGACACCCCTCCTTCTTCACGCCCACACACACTCCTACACACACAATGCTCAAACAGTGAAAAAGGGCTGGAGGAAAGGCCTGCCTTGTACCGAACAAACTCGCCGACAGACAACCCGGACGTACACACATTCCTTGCCATACAGTTGCACTGTCTTTCATCAGCACTATTGTGCAGTAAAATACAGGTATGCCTACAGAGCCCGACGATCTGGACTGCCTTGCCGTTGGCGCTTTACCCGTCAAAATAAGAGCATCTCAGCAAGACACAGCTCCGCTTTTAATCACTGTCTGATTGATTACACCCACCCAGAAGTGCACACTCGGTGCTGAAACCGTCATTGTGGATATGTGACAAATGGCGCTCCTCTGTAGATATATGACCAGATTCTACAATTATAAACTGTAAAGAACATGTGCCAGCTGACACATGATTTTATCTTCCTTTTTTGGCTTTAAAGACATGATTCATTGAAAGGGTAACAGGACTCTGGTTTGGATCAGTAGCTGCACAATTATTTTGTTTATTCATTTGTTTCCTTCCTTCCTTCCTTTCCTTCCTTCCATCTTTTCTTTTTTTTCCTTCCTTCTTATTTTCCTTCTTTCTTTCCTTCCTTTCTTCCTTCTTTCCTTCCTTCCTTCTTATCCTTCTTTCCTCTCTTCTTCCTTCTTACTTTCCTTCTTGTTGTCCTTTCTTTCTTCATTCCTTCCTTCCTTCCTTCTTATTTTCCTTCTTTCTTTCCTTTCCTTCTTCCTTCTTTCCTCTCTTCCTTCCTTCTTTTCTTTTTTCCTTCCTTCTTCCCCCTTTTATTCCTTCCTTCTTACTTTCCTTCTTTCTTTCCTTTTTCTTCCTTCTTTCTTTCCTTTCTTCCTCCCATCCTTCTTACTTTCTTTTCCCCTTTCTATAGCAGTGCAGCTAGTGTCAGCTGTTTTATTACTTTTGATAGCTGTGACAAAAACCTTTAAACAGGCCTTGTTACATTTTCTTTGTTTCTCTCTCCCTCTCTCTCTCTTTCGCTGAATGGTCTAAAGTTACCAAAGTCATCACCCTAAAAACTCAATACTGCAGTGTAGACAAAGTGGGTGAGCAGCCCACAACAAAGACTTGGATACTGTAATATTTATTTCGGCTCATGCTTTTGTTGAGAGGAGAATCTCAAAGTTTCCTCCGTCTCAAAGAAACTGAAGGGCTGCTGAGTAAGCAAATACCCGGGCAGCGGGAAGATATTTCAAAGTCTCTCTCCTTCCTCTGTAATGGATCTGCATAAGAAGTGTTTGTTATGGAAAACAAAACAAAATGCATGCAGATCATGCGCTGGTGGTTCAAAGCACAAGGTCAAACACCACGGGGTCTTATCTGCAATGTATGTTCAAATATGTTTTTTTTTTATTTGATGCTGCGTCCCTTAATTTATTTCAACTTTATACACAACATTTATATGCAAATGCTGAAATTTATTTATCTTTTTTTTTATTCTGTTGTTTTTTTATTTGATATGCAAATGCTGAAATTTATTTATCTTTTTTTTTATTCTGTTGCTTTCTTAAAAATAATTATTTAGGATCGTGATTGAGGAGCACCGGGCTGGTGGCGTAGGTGGAGTTACACCCTGGCTCCCTCTGACTCTGAGGTACACAGCCAAAAACCACATTATTATTATTAATATTATTTAAATCAAGGCCAAAGATGGCTCTCTAGGTCAGTGGTTTTACCAGTAGCGCCGCGCTGATTGTTGAAGGATTGTTAAATTTTCAAAATAATACATTTTAGTGACTTTGTGAGATTTATTGTAAATAAAACATTATAATCGTGCCCATGTCAAGGGGAACTCTTGTGTCGCAGCCTTCTCCTAATCCTATCAATAACGATGTCAAACAATGTTTGTTAATGTAGATACACACACTCACACACACAGGTAAATAAGTGAACCATACGATGAGCACAGACAGACTTTTTGTTGCTTGTACAACCAACCAACCAAAGCTACTTCACAGACTACGGACACACATTCAGAGGAGCAGAGTTAATGAAAGCGAGTGCTCACCCAGGGTTTGATGAAACTCACCCGACACCGGGGTCATAGCGGTGGGCGGGAGGCTGTTGATGTTGAGCGCCCCCATCTGGTGGATCTGTGTTGCAGGAAACGCCACGCTTGGCGTGAGGTAACCTCCATGGCTTGCTGCCATGATGGCTGCCTGCTGCTGCATGAGCTAAAGAAGAGGGACAGAGAGGGATGGATGGAGGAAGGATGGATGTTTGGGTGGGATTTGGGAGAGAGCCAGGTGAGAGGACGGAGATGAAGCAGAGGGAAGGTGGTAATAAAGACGACAAGTCGGGAGGAGGGGAGACATGGATGAATGTTGAGGACATTGGATGGGTAGTGTATGAAATGCACATGAAGAGGAGAGTACAGATTAAGAAAAGGAAGAAAAAAAGAAGCTTGTCAACCTGTGTTTAAAGAATCTGTCCATTCTCCCAGCTGGAAGCTTGTCTCCAGCAAGAGAACCATTTAATAGCTGTCTGTTGGGCTCATTTAAACCCAGGCACTGACATGTGCTTAGGGGATGAACTTCATATGCCATTATAATTTTTTTTTTTTGCAATTGTTAAAAGTCCCCATTGTGTTTGGCTGTAAAAAGGCTACAGATGTCCCACATTCTGCTCTGTTTCTCCTGATGTTTTTGTAATAGTTGCTGCCTGTAGCCCACATCCATCCAGGGTCAGGATTGGCTTTGTTTTATAATTCTTTTATAAAACTTTTCAAAAGTCATTCTACAAACCAAATATGTTTGGAGATGAGACATCATCACGTGATCAGAGCTCTAGCCATGTCTCAGTCTGACCTTTGGTGAGAACCTTAAACATGTCATTTAACCCAGAACCTTTGCTATTAAAATGTTGTTTAATGGTAAAACAAATGTAGCTTGCAGAAGAAATTCAAGTGCACATCAATAAAATAGTATATAACCAGTCAGAGAAATTTCAATATTTCACCCTTTGGATAGTCCCATAATGAGATAGAATCAATGGCTTTTCATTCACTCTGCATTTCTCTCTTTGAAAAGCAAGCCATGAAACCGTTTTCCATCAAACGCAGCCCACAGTGTGTTATTCAAATGCACAGGACATGCGAACACGCACCGTTGCTCCTCGCTTTGCTCGCACACTTACACACAAGAAGCACGGCGAGCCGGAGAGACTGTTTGAGTTTCTGCACTCAGCTCAAATTGACCCTGTGTAAACCACATGCTGAATGCCTTATTCACTAGAAAATCCATTATTGTACAGTGGCTTTTGCATCTTGGGAAACAACGGGTTTATTTGGAGAATCGATAGTCTTTTCTCCTGCCGTACAACTGGCCATCAGACCTCCAGACCTGGACGGCTGCTGGGTGTCAGGGGAACTGCTGAGGGCCACGGCCTGAGACTGGCTCATGTTCGCAGAAATCAAACTCTTCTGCCACTGGCACTAATGCTAATGACAATACTGTGTGACAGTGAAGTAATGAAATGCCACTCTCGCTTGCATTTGCATGGTGACCCTGCAATGAAAAAGCCAATTATTTTCCCCCAGTGCCCCTGACAGGTAACCTGAAAGCAACTGTCCCGCTGCATTGTGCCCAACACTGGCATCTCATCTATTACCCACATTACTCTGTTACTGCCTCTTTACCATTTGCATAATTTTATCAAACTGACAAATAGGGAGCATCCATTCCCTTTTACGTAAGATTAATTGAGTCTTTAACGGGACGTAGCCGCACAAGAACCACACAGACGCGATGACATGAAAACAAACAGGTCTGGAGGATACGGGCTCCCCTGGTTTGGCATCGCTCCGACTGCTCCCTTATTAGGGGACGTGAATGGGGCTGGACCTCAGGATGAAGGGTTGGACGGGGCTGGTGACTGTCACACCACCCATTGTTTGCACGTCTCTGCCAGCACTGAGACCGCTAGTTAGCGGGGGTTGGCGTGGGGAACTGAACTAGAGACTTAGAATTAGAGATGCACCAGTGGTGATCTGCCCATTTTTGGCATGACCAGCACTAACCATCTGGTCGACCACTTCTGCAGCCCAACATTTGTACTGTGTAGGATAACTGGAGAGGAAACTACTGTCGCTATTACTTGAAAACAACAATGTTTGAACTCGGACCTTATTGAATTTGTAATTATTGGATATTTTATTTCAAGACGGGGCAAAAACAGAGATATCATACATTGTTCTCATTTCTTTAAGTTACCACAAAAATGATACAACCGTCAGATATTATAGGTCTGAGACTGGAGAGAGAAGCTGTGACTGAGTGCCGTTTGTGGGAAATGTTTCATAATTACTTGTTATGAGAATCACATTTTGCCGTGAAGAACACTTTACTTTTTGTATAGTCAACAGTCAATTGAAGGAAATTGGAACCTGCAAAAATTGGTCTCTGCAGTTCTCGCCAAAAAAAAAAAAAAAAATCAGAATCAGCTACAGAATTGCAATCTGAGCATCTCTACAGAGAATATATCCAGGCTCTCAGTTCACGTTCGAGGTAAATCATTGATAATAACGTCATTACAAATTAAAATGCGGTAAAACAGTTAATTAAATTAGACTTTTATATAAAAAAAGAAAAAGTAGTTACATGGAGAAAGGTCTTCTCTCATTTTATACTTATTATTTTTCAATTCCAAAATTTCAAAGCATACTATTCTAAAGCCATCACTTTTGCCTCCTGGGTATTTTTGCAATACCCAGCAGAAAGTAAAAGCCTCTTGTGGTAAAAATGTGCACAGCTCCGTTTTCATCATCCGAAACACAAGCTTTTCTTCTTCCTTAAAAAAAAAAAAAAGGAAGGGAAGGCAGGCAAAAACATGGGGGACAAAAGAGAGGCACAGAGGATGAAAGGGAGCGGAGAAAGTTGCTCAGACTCCAGTGGCATTCATTTAGTGTCAGGCATCTGCTTTTTTATTGCAACCTGATGGCATTACTCTCCCATGGTGCCAGCAGGCAATCACCTCTTTATCACATGGCAATTATCTCTGTAGCACTGCTCGGTGACACGCCGACTCTCAGCAATGTCACATGTGACCCCTTATAGCCCGACCCGCCAGGGAGGGAGGGAGGGACGGGGAGGAGGGGTTGTATGGGTAGGGGGTAAAGGGATAGAGAGGGAGAGAGGGGGGAGAAAGAGAGATAGGAAAAAGAGGAAGGGAGAGTATATAAAATATGACAGCTGGGGAGTAAGAGAGAGTAGGTCATCGTGGTGAGCTGAACGACTGAAGACAGAAGCTCAAGGGCCTCATTTTTTACCTTCATTGCAGGAGGGAGCCACTTATTCATATCTGATGTTCTTTGTTATTTGTGTGCGTGTAGGTAAGACAAGACGCACACACACACGCGCGTGTGTCCTCACTATCATTGGACAGCTAAACCAGGTCACACATACTTGTGTGTGTAGATTTGACTGTGCAGACAAATCATGTAGTAATCTCTTATTCCTCATGTGAGCTGAGCAAACAGCATAGGTTTAAACGCAACCCCCCCCCCCAACAGGGGGAGGTGTTTCCCATAGTGTGAGTCTCCAGTGTGTTTTTGTTACCCGTTCTAACTGAGTTCGAACCAAATGGTTTACAGCCCTCTGATCTATCACGTGCAGCCTTCAGCATCTTTTATGGAGGCAGGAGGAGTTGGGGGAGCGTTCACCTCTACCTCCTCTGACACAGCTGCTAGCTTCTGTTTTTTCTCACCAGACCACATAGAGGTCTGTTTTGGTCTTCTTCTATCACTTAATCTTTTTACATATAAGACTGTTCACCATATGACGTATCACATTTACAGTATATCTGTGGTCAATTTAGGGCCAGCGCTCCACAGTGACTCTAACGTGTAGCGGTTATTACGCCTGCCTTACACATCTGCCTTACACGCAGAAGGTTCTGGGTTCGAGCCCCAGAGGAATCACATACTTAATGTGGGGTCCCGTGTGGCTACCTGTGGGTTGCAAATACTCATACAGTGAATTTCCCCAATGACGGTAGAATGGAACTGGAAAGAACCTCAAGTGGTCCGCATCCAGGCCACGAGCCACCTATTTGCGGACCACAAACACATGAAAGCAGACTTTTTTCCTTTACTTCTCTGTGTTTGTGATTTGGTCAGCAAAGAAGCAGTGGGCTCTTCAATACTGTGCGAGCCGTTGGAGCCTAGACTGAATGATAATGTTTTGATCAGACAGTATTGTGGTTTGTGGCCTGACCAACAATAATAAATGGACCTTTGACTGATTGAAAAACATCTTCGTTGACTTTAAAGATTGGTATTTGAGTAGCCCAGACTTAGTGTCCAACTAACCTAATCCCATCTGCTTTGACTGTGGCACCAGCTGATGTTCTTGCTCTGAACCAGGGGTGTCAAACTCATTTTGGTTCAGGGGCCACATACAACTTAATTAGATGTCAAGCTGAACTTGTACAATCATAACATAATTACCTATAAATAACAGAAACATTTTCCCCTTTATCTGCATGCAAAAAGTACATTACAAATATTTTTATATTTAATTAAATATAATTTTACAAAATATTTCCTGAACATGAAGTGTTTGTGTTTTTTTTATTTTTTTATTTTCAAAGTTCATCAAGCGGGCCAAATTGAAAATCCAACGGTGCTGGTTTTGGCCCGCATGCCATACGTTTGACAGCCCTGCACTAAGTCAAGAATGCTAACCACTCCTTCCTTGGTGAAAATGTTCCATTTCACAAATGCAGTTTCTGAGTTAAATGGCAAGGATGTTGTCAATTTTTAAAATAGGCTTAATCTCATTTTTACGACTTGATTTTAATGACTACAGTATTATTACTCCCCCCAAACTTCAAACTCCCCCGCCCTATCTATCTGTCCCTCTATATATCTCTCCCCTGTGGCGTGTGCTTTATAAAATCACCTTTTTGCAAATAGGATGTGAGCTGTCAGAGCGCACCAGTGTCTGAGTCTATCGTGAAAATGGCACATTTCTCATTTTTGGCACATGTTGTCAGTGTTGTACTCCTCCAATTTGTGCTCATAGCCGCCTCCTTTTCTTAAAATCCAATTTACTGGCTGTCAGCTCTCCTCTATAATCCTATCCACCGCTGTAGAGAAGAGGTAGCTCTTTGAATATACCATTTACTGTACGCTCTGGTTTTAGCACTATATACTAACTCTCTCCAAGTCTCTTCTCCTGGCCAGTGTTTATAACGTGTAGGCCACGTGTAGTGAGCATGCCGAGATGAAGTCATTTTTTTCCGTCACTGCAGTTATTGCGCGTTATATAGAAAGCATTCGTTCTACTTTTGTACTTGGTGAAAAAAAGGTGAATCAAATTTGCTGATAACATGCATGCTAGCAGTGTATGTAACTGTAATTACATTACTGCACCAGTAGGATGCCTGTATTATGATTCCATTTGTCATATTATTATGCATCATGCTCTCCGAACAAGAAATACATTATCACAACCCTAATAAATGTATATGTTTGTAAATGAACAAAGTTATTTTTTAAATTCAAACTTGAGATAAGTTTGTCTAAGTTGGATTCTGAAATATATACAGAGCATGCTCGTGGCGTCAGTGGTTATGCGCGCCAGTAGGGGGGGCAAACGGGTCTGCTGTCTAAAGCCCAGTCACGACTGTCGGCTCTCCAGTCAATAGTTATTGTGACACATACTCGTAAGAAAAGAAGAATTTCAACTTCACCACCTTCATTTACTCTTCATATATATTTTCCAGATTAGATCTCAAATCTTCGCTACCTTGACATCATCTGCAGTTCCCAGCATCCTCCTGCTCTTTGTCATATCGCACTTTTACATGAGACAGACGTGGAGGAGGTGAAACGAAAGAACATCTGTGTCGTGTGTTTCTTTATGTACACATGTGTGTCTGAATGAGCCCACACTGTGAATAAGAGCCTTACCCACCTAAGGACGGCTCCCCACAGACCCCCGCCCACTCCTCCCCCCTCCACATCTTTAACATTTGCATTTTTTCACATGTGCTGAGATTGGACTGCCTTTCTACAAATGGTGATGGAGGTTAGCGTTTCACTAGATCACCAGGGATGGCCTCACAAACAGTCAATTTGCAGATTGTTCACTGGGTCCCACGGCTGATATGAAAAGGAGGGGAGAGGAGAAGGCCCCCAGACCTTGTTAACATCAGCAATTAATCCTGGCATTTAGGAGCTGCACATAATATATATTTTACACCCATTAAACTAGTGCAAGGAAATTGATTTGTCTACCTCCATCTCTGTAAATAAATAAATACTATTTATGCAGTCTGCTGTGTCATTGGCTTTGGCTTGGTATCTCAATGCCTGTTAGAATCCTTTTCCTAAATTCATTTTTGCCAGCCTCATTTAAGCAGCGTGTGCAGTGTGCATTTAAATGCATTCATGCATTCTGCTGCAGCAGGACAGAAGAAAGTTTGTGGACAGTTAGGTATTTCATGGAATACTCTTCAGTCGACGATGGCCCCTAAAGCACCTAATGGCCCCATTGGGATGGAGTGGTAAGGTAGATAATTACTGCAATGGAACAGCGAGGGAGCCTATGGCAAGGAGGCCTTCATTGGCTGTGTGAACTCATGAAGGAGCTGGGTGTCTGCTGAGTGCAGGGTGCTGTGCCCTCAGAGACCAGGGCAGAGTGGGTCGGGATCAGAAGCAAAGAGGAAGCTGGTGATAGGGTGAGTGAGTCAACGTTAACTACTGCAAATGTCTCTGCCTATATGTATAGGCTGAAGGTGTGGCAGCCGTGCCTTAGATGAGAAAATAGAGAATATATTAAAGGTTGTGGGAGTATTTTTTTTAGACTCCATACATTGGCAACGGTTCAGGGAACGCTGATCTGCACCAAAATTAAGAAATTCAATCAACATAATATTCATTTTATAGCACATAAACGACAACTTTAAAAGCATTCAACACTATTATCGCATACATTTGGAGCAGGGAGTCAGCCATGTTGGTTGACTGCTCTAAACATTTTCTTTACCAAAAAAACATAGTGTGATCAAACCTGGTCCCGTGGCGTCCCCCAGAGATCAGTACTTGGACACGCCCTTTTTGTTCTTTTCTCCTGTATCTTTTTTTTTTCTGACCAGTGATGTATGAGGTCCAAAAACATTCACTGATTAGGCCAGCATGTTAGTTTGAATGCAGTGTGTCTTCAGTTCCATGTCGGAGGCCCATGTAGACATGTTGGCTTAGAGTCATCTTTGTCATTATAGGACAGTTGTCCTATGAATGAATGATGGACCATTTGTAATTAATATCTTACCTGTCCTTTGTATTAGTGACTAACTTAACCGTTGTTTTTTGTTGTGCTACGATGCATTTCCAACTCACCGCATGTGCGTAAGAGCTGTATGTGCTGAAGGGAAGGGCGATGGCAGGGTTGAAGATGCCAAACTGTCCAACCATCTGCTGCATACGTCTGATGGTGCGCTCCTTGTCTGTGTCCGCAAACTTGACCACCAAGCTGGAGGAAGCACCCTGCAAGAAGTAGAGATTATTTTTCAATATTGACTTGAATAACAAGAAGAAATGGAGGTTTAAAATGTTTGATCATAAATGTATTTACACCAGTACCTGGCAGGCACAACTGAATTCAGATCAGTTTGATTCAGATCTTTTTTTGTTATTTAATCCAGTGCTCTGTTCAATAATGGTACCAGTATAACACACAACTATACACTAAGTGCATATTAGTGTGTTTTGGAAAAGTATTAACCTCCCTGATAACAGGTTTGCTTCTACAGTTTGACTTCTGTTAGTGAGGGTGACACAATGGCCACTAGTCTAAGAAGAAACAAAATGGCTGTGATCGATATTTTATAGCAATTCTTTACGATGTAAATCATTTTATTTGTTTTTATCACTTTTTTCTTTCATTCGTGCTCGTCCATTCCTTTATGGTTATCACATTTTTCACCATAACCCAATATTGAAACCTGCAGGTGTTTCTGCCACATTCCCTTCATTAAGAATCTAAAAATGATTTAGCCCAGCAGTTGACCTTTAGTGTGTTCACCAGCTCCTCCCTTCTGTGGCCCCAAACTGGCCAATCGATCCCCATGAAAGGCCGAAATATTGCTGTGATCTGACAGTGGAGAAAGGTTGGGCGTCAGTCACGATAAGAGCTCACCCCCCCTCCCAGAAATTGATGCAGCATTGTCAATAGAAGTAGTGACTTGTAAAGTGCTAGGCTGGAAGGTTAAGGGTTCTAAAAAGATATTTCTTAGTAGGTGCCCACGAGAAGCCTGATGGGAATTGAACTGGAGTGATTTCAGGCATTTAAAAAAGACAAATGTGATAATGATTTTTTTTTTTACATAGTGAGGGACTTGGGAATGTGTGCTAGTGAAGACATCTTGGAGGATGAGTAGAGTTGTTAAATGAAGGCACTGGCTCTTTCGACAGCAGCGTATGGATTTATCTTTTACCTTTCTGCCTCACTCTTCCCTCAGTATTCCCTGTAGCTATTTCCTACGAGCTTGCTCTTTGGACAAATCACTGGGTTGAGGGCTCGTAAGTACATGTCTGCTTGGTTAGGTCAGACACCTGAGCCAAGAGGCTGATTGTATGGTTACCAGTGACAAAATGGCTAGCATGCTGTTGGTTTAGGAGGAGGTTTGCTAACCGGCTGACAGAGAAACCGTCTCTGACGATATAATACATGTATGTCAAATTCAAGGCCCAAGGGCCGGATCCGGCATGTCACATTATTTTATGTGGTCCATCAGGTCATAACCTGTTTATGGCTATTTTGGAATAAAAGTCTAAAGCATGACCAGGCTAAAATGAGCTACCTATGTTGATGGTGTAAATGTATATTTACTCATATGAACTGAACATACTTTGGATATACATGATATGTTGAGGTACTTTGATTAAATGCATTTATCTGTATGGCACAATATGATTAAATACTTAGTCCTAGGGATTTCATTTGAAAATAGACTGGCATCTATATTTTCAATATTTATTTTAGTTGCTAACTATAGCCCGTCTGATCTGATACCTAAGACCAAATGCTCAATTTAATGTGACATGCTGTACTGTTTACAGCACAACAGTACAGCATGTACTATCGACTGGAGATATTGAGAATATCATCAGACATGAAAACGTTGTATCAAGTCGTCCCTAGACTAAATTACACATTAGAGTTAAGAGTACACATGACATATTTGAAATGCTCCTGGTCTACTTCTCAGATTTTTGGTGGCTGAAATATTGGCTTTCAGCCAAGTTATAGGACTCTGAAGTGTGCCTGCTTCAACCACAGAGATATTATCTGTAGTACCAACCTGTCTGTTTGTATAAGAGCCCTGTGTTGTTCTCCACGCACATCAGACGCTCTACAAAGATATTTCTTTAGGGAGAGTTTGGCCTCCCGTTGTTTTTCTTCAGCGCACTTGAACTGTATGGCTTGGCAGCTTGGCATCCATTACTGGTGTTTATCTTCTAGATTTTACTAGATGGATTTGTCGGAATATCGGCGCGCAAGATCTACATTGCCACACAGCGAGCAGGAGAATGGGGCTTAAAGTAAAAGTCTAGTTAAAATTTTAAGCTGCCAGGAGTGAACTGAATCCCCCTGCCAGGCAGCTCACGGGTGCCTAGAGAGTTCAGTGAAGGAAGAAGAGTTAAACAGGGAAGATAAAGTAGGCACTTCAGAGATTCAGACATGTGAGGAAAGTCTGCCTCTTTACAGTTCCTTCTCATTGCCATGCAGTGCTGGTGCGTGTCCATACTGCATTCCTGACTTCATGTGAATAAAGTAGATAACGATGCATGCGCTGTATATTTATACATCTTTAAATATACCAGCTTTTTCTCCGCACAAAGCGTGCCAAAAAAGCAGGCTGCCTTCGTTGAGGTTTGAATTTGATGAGTTCATCCCAGAAGTTCAGATTCTCAAGGACAGGAGGACTATTTGGAGCACTAGCTTTTTGCTTATGTCAACAGTACTGCTTGGTCTAACTGCAGCTGACTGTGGCAGTCTTACTTTTAAAAGTAATATAGAATTGACACTGTATTGTATATTTAAATAACATTCTGTGTTGTCTACAGTTCCTCTGCTTATTCAAATTTATGTGAGCATTTTGTTGTTTGCTGAAACGTGAGGTTACATCTGTACGTTTAGAATGGCCGTGACTGAATTCTGTGACTCCAATGTATTCATAATGCATTCAGCCCTAAAAAAACGAGAAACAAAATGTGTATTTTGCCGTCCCTGAATAGAGTGATATCAACATTTCATTCATAACAGAGCCAATGGTGACAAGGCAAAAGCGCTAACAGTTCACTCCGGAGTTCAGCTGTTTTTTTTTTCTTCCCAAACGATGTGCAGGCTCTCGGCCAATATCACTCACACCATTTATTCACTTTTTAAGGGTGAGAAATTTAATATTAGGAGCAGATTCACACAGTAGCTGTGAGTTTTGATTAAACACCCTTCGTAGTAGGGTGCAAAAGCAAATTTTACAATCCAAAGTTTCCTCATATCTGTGGCAATTGCTGCTTGATGATTGGACAGACTGAAGTATGGCGGAGTTATGGGCAGTTAAAAGAAAGGATTAACTTATAAAAATAAGATTGAATTATTATGAACCTGCCTCTAATGTTAGTCATATTAGAGATTATGATATGCTTAAATGAATTGTTTTTATTGTATTATGGGGGAAATTATTGCTCCTCCTAGAGCATTCCAAAAGAAATGCACTTAACTATTAGACATATTTCTATTTATTTACATATATATAATAACATTAATATTTAAAACACACACACACATACTTGATGTATTTCATATATTATATAAATTTGTATATATTTTTAAAACATGTATATTTATTCATATACAATATATTACAAAAACTACATGTAGGGTGAAGAGCACATACAGACTTTCAGCAGGTTTGCTTTGTTGTGTTATACTTTATATTATATTACATACGTTTTATATTAAAACATACAAAGAAACAACAACAGCAACTCTGAACGCACTGCTGCTCAACCGTCAGAATTATGGGTATCCAGTGTATACTGTACACTGTCCTCTCACAACTGCTACATCTGTATGTGCAGCCCATAATTCAAGCACTTCACTTACTATGCATTGCTTGCAACTATATTCTTACGTGTGGTTACCACCCATTGCTACTCCCTACGTACCGCATGCAATCATATAAATGTATATGTGCACTGAGCTGGGCTACTGAAATAACGTATGACTCTTCTCTATAGGGTTATTTGAATGTAAATTACCTGTGTTAGAAAAACAACATTGGGAAAAATGGCATATCCTACACGTAAACATAGTTAAAAATATAAACACATAACGTAGTTTAATGAGTAAAAAGAATCCCAGATCTATCATCCGTGTGGAATACTGACATTAAAACTGCATCTAGCTGAATATGAGATGAGCTCATAACTGGAACCCAGCTCCACATAATCTGCAGCTTCTTTGCCTTCTTTCATTTCATCGTTTTTAAGGCAGCAGCGTGGGGATCTGTGCATTAAAACCATGTGTCTTGTTGACTGTCAAATCCTGGCACTCTCAGCTAACGTGCAACTTTGAAGTAATGCAGAAGACCCAGCGACTAGGGGGAATCACAATTGGATGATTTTCTGCCCTAAACTGTTCTCACTGCTCTCAATCATCACGTTCTCCCCTGTTTTCTGGGAATTAATTTAAGTCATTAATTTGCTTTTTTCCTGTGTTCGGCTCTTATACGTCCATCGTCCTGCTCCAGTATTTCTATCTCTGTCCCTGACAGTGCTTCTGCCTCAAACTCAGGCTGGACTGATGTTGTAATGTAGCAGGGGCAAAACCATACACACACACATGCACACAGTGCCATGGACTTGACCTGCGTTTACCCTCATCTCTGTGTAATTCTGTCCGGACTTAGCACCTACATGGCCCCGCAGAATGGCTTTAGCGCTCTAGCCTTTAAATCTTTAATTAGGCGGCTCATATCTGGAGCGGCGATAGTGGGCTAGATTGAGGAAAAGTGGTTGTGCGTGTGTAAAAGATGAAGTTCCGCATGTTTGGAATACGATTGGCTTAGGTGTGATGGAGATCCAGTCAAGGCCCCACATGTGGCCTGTTGATGCACTTGGATAATTTATACACTTGCACTCTTAGCATCATCAATCATGCACTGGAATCACGGCTTTGTGGGTGATATATATAAACCTACTATCAAAATTATTTATTTAATATTCATCACAAACACAGCAAGATGAATACATTAATGTTTACGCGTTTATAATCATGGTCCGTGTACATAAAGTACATCTTACATCAGGCGATGTCAGTCTTTCATGCACACACTCAATTTCCATGCAGATTTCTTTCACTCATTCTTAAGTCAAGTCACTCACACACACACAAAACATAGAAAAATGCCCACTCTGCCATACATGAAGAACACAGATTTATTCAGCCAAAGTCCTCCCAGCTGAAAATAGGATCAGTCAGGAGACCTTTGACCCTGGCCTGTGGCTGTATTGAGCTGTATTGAGATGTGTAAAAAGTTGTGTAGGTGTGTATTGGCTAGGAAGACATACAGATGTGTAAAAAGTTGTGTAGGTGTGTGTGTGCGTTTATACGCCTGCGGTTGTGTGTGAATGCATATGAAGTCATGCAAAAGAAAAGTGGTCCCTCTTTTAGATGTATGTATGCAGAGGCATTTGCGTGTATGTGTGTGTGTGTGTATTCATAAAATCTAAAAATTTGAATTTGTGTGCAAATAAAAAAAATGCCAGCAGATCTATGAAACTGCAGTAGGTAGTAGTAGTAGTAGTAATATTCTGAGGATGAAGGATGAAGGATACAGCTGGCTACTGGCTGGGCTCATGGTCATCCCTCCAGCTCCGCTCAGCAGCCACAGCCTTGGTGGAACAGTAAATATGTTCAGTGAACAAACATGCGGCCTCAGGTCGTCTCAGTTCATTAGAACAATTAATCTTACCCAGCAGCCGTGAACAGGCAGGGCTGTGGTGGTGATACGTGGGAAATGAAAAGCTAAGCCAATTTCGGCAGCAAAAACTGCAGTTCCGATGTATTTAACGTAGAAAATACAGGACGTTCGGATGGAGGGTTTTCCATGATGTCTGCATCGCTGGTTGACACAGAGCTTCCACTAGGCCCAGTGATCAACCAGTGGTCAACCAGTGGTCAGAATATCTAAAGCAGGATCTTTGGATCAGTGAACCTAGGATCTTTGAAATAATAAATGTTGATTAACCAGAGCAGGGGGCAGTCAGTTTACTCCTTCTCCCACTGTACTCCACCTCTTTTTATCTCGCTCCTTTTTCCACACCCTCAACCCCACACTCTCAGCGGCCGTGTGCTTACATTAATAATTCAGTAACCTCTGTGGTAAAAGCGCTGGTATTAAAGTCTACTGCCAAATTTCCAAAAAGAGGCCAAAGAGAGAAGAGAAAAAGAGCACACACATACAGCATTCACACACACATATATATACATATACATGGAGGGAGAACTTTTAGTACTTTCCCTGTGAACTGCAGTAATTTGCACTTAGATTGACAGGGAAATCGTGGCACAGTGGCTCTGTTGGTTTCTAGGAATACACACCGCATGACTGTCTTTTGCAACAACATTGGCGAGCAATAATAATGAAATGGCACGGTAAAACGGGGAAAAAAAATCTGAGAGGAAGGGTGAGCAGGAGTTCAGGATCTCTGCGATGAGGTTTTCTAAAAACTAAAATGAAGATGAAATCGGATCGTATCCAGGCTACTAGC